AAAAACAAACCAGAAATTATAATTATGATCCATATTTTATTTTCTTGGCATTAAAAGTGAGTTTCTGATTGTTTCTAAAAGTTGGTCTTGGGGCTGGAGAGATGGCTCAGTGGTTAAGAGCATTGCCTGCTCTTCCAAAGGTCCTGAGTTCAATTCCCAGCAACCACATGGTGGCTCACAACCATCTGTAATGGGGTCTGGTGCCCTCTTCTGGCCTGCAGGCATACACACAGACAGAACATTGTATACATAATAAATAAATAAATATTAAAAAAAATATCATCAACCCCACACTCAACAACAGCCCCAGGGCTCATTACCAGGCTCCAGGCCCAGGATCATGTCTAGAGCTTGTCGATAGTGAGGCACCTGCTCATTAAAAAGAAAATAAATAAATAAAAGTCTTTTTTTTTAATTAAGACAGGGTCTCACTGTGTATCTATGACTGCCTTGGAACCACTATGGAGACCAGGCTGACCTTGACGTGATCTGACCTTCACTGATCCATCTGCCTCTGCCTCCAGAGTACTGGAATTAAAGGCCTATGTAACTATGCCAAGAAGTTGATCAGAATTACAAGATATTCAATTTATGTCATTTTGTATCTGGTTTTTCTACATAATGATTATGAGTATTACGTATCTTATTTTAGAAAATGATTGCATATTGTGTAGACAAATTATAATTGATCCATATATTTTGGTTTTTTCGAGACTGGGTTTCTCTGCGTACCAGCCCAAGCTGCCCTGAAACTCACTCTGTAGACCAGGCTGGCCTCGAACTCTGCCTGCCTCTGCCTCCCGAGTGCTAGGATTAAAGGCGTGCGCCACCATGCCTGGCTTAATCTAAGCATTTCTATAGCAATTTCCTACACTTGTGTTCTTTTGACATTCTTTCTATAGTGAGAAAACACTCCTGACTGATGGTAATGTGTATCTCAAACTTCCTGCTCTTAAGAAGTGACAAAAGATATCTGTCTTCTAGGACAAGAGGTGTAATGAATGAAGTCTGGCTTAAACTCTCTTGGTCTCTGCAGAAATTATCTAGTTTTTTCAAGCCAGTTTTGAGGTCATTTAGCCATCCCTGGGATACAATTTGCATTGTATTTATGCTGCCAAATTAAGGGTTTTGGGAGACAGAAATTTGTGCCTTAATTTTGTTTACTAGGGTATGGTTTGACATAGATGTGTTTATAATGTTTTTGTTCTGTTTTCTTTTGAGTGGAAGAGATATATTTCAGTGTGTGTGAAAACCCAGCTCTATTGGAAACATTCAGTGTAAATCCTTTTTTTTAAAAATAAGATTTAAATATGTGTGTATGCTTGTGTGCCTGTGCATGTAAGTGCAGCTACCTATAGATGCCAGGAGAAGGCGTTGTATCCCACAGAGCTGGAGTTACTGGTGGTTGTGAGCGACTTGATGTGGATGCTGGGAGCAGAAGTCAGGAACTCTTCAAGAGCATTATGTTTCCAGCTGCTGAAATTCTCTCTGCTCCCCCGCTCCAGGATAAATCTTGATGCAGTTGAATCTCATGACTCTTCGTTATGGGAAATTACAAAGCTAGATCAGTGTGCCCTGATGAGCAGAAAGAAGTAGATTGGACTTGGGGTTGTGTAACAGAATGGCCCAGGTCCTGGATGGAGTCAGGGAACCTGTTTTACCATTCACTGTGACCTTGAGGGAACTGGTTCTTCTCTCAGGACACTCGTTCCCCTTCATCCCTTAAGGAAGTTGACCTAGGTCACCTACAAGCTTCCTTCTGACTTTAACTTTGTTTGTAAGCTTTGACTTTTTCGTTGACTGTGATGCCTCATAAATTGTAGTGCCTGGGTCAGCATTACAAAATGTACATTCTTGGATCCCCACTTAGACCTACTCAGAAACTCTTTGACTTCAGGTGTCCCGGATTACAGTCAGGTTTAAACAACATTACTCCAGGAATATAGCCAACATAGCTATGAGTGTAAAGGAGTAAGACCAGGGCTGGGAAGGTAGCTCAACCACTAAAGTGCTTGCCTTGCATGCATGAGAACCTAGTTTCGATCCCTGGACCCTCCTGAGCAGGGTGCATTTTCCTCCCTTCCAGGCCTGGAAGCCCATAAGGTGAATGCATAGGGCATTGCCGACTGTGGAATGACAAGGGTTGGGGGGGGGAGGGGGCGGCATTCATCATTCAGGAATTCTGAGAACTGACATGTTCTTGACTTGTAAGGATTTGGGAAAGAAATCGTGAGATACGATATTTCTGGACAGGAGTCTACACAGGCGATTTCATGTAAAGTTAAAAGACTGAGTTCTCCCGTGGTGACACTTTCATTTGCAGTGACTTTAATTTGGCATCCCCCTTCCTCTAACCCAGTGTTTCCTCACCCTTTCTAATGCCATGACCCTGTAAGACCGCTCCTCATGTTGTGGTGATCCCCCAACCATACAGTTATTTTCATTGCTACTTCATAACTGTAATTTTGCTACTGTTATGAATTGTAATGTAAATCTCTGATATTTCTGGTAGTCTTAGGCAACTCCTGTGAAAAGGTTGTTCGACCTCACCAAAGGGGTCTTGATCGACAGGTTGGGAACCACTGCTCTAGGACACCCACGAGATGCACCAAGGAAGCACAAGTCACTGTGGTTACCCCACTGTTCATTACAATGGCTGGCCCATAGTAGGTGCTCAGGAAATATCTGCTAAGTGAATGGGTGTTCGTTCTTCTTGGAACATCTGGAACACTGGCAGGAACCATTAAAAAGGAATTAAAGGTTTACCTCTGTATGAATCAAAACTGTCATTCAGTTTAGTGTTGTGTTGGGGGATTTGAGCCCATGGGAACGAGAAAGGGATGCTGGATTCTCTGGACCTGGAGTCACGGCGAGCTGCCTGATGCAGGCCCTGGGAAGTGAAAAGCAGCAGATGCCCTTCCGAGCCATCACTCCAGCCCTTGAAGCAGGCTCTTTTGTAGCAGTGACCAGATGCTTGTCCTGCGGGAGTAGTTCATTTCCTCGCGACGTCTTCCCTGCGTGGCCTCCTGACTTAAAGCTGAATTACACTGATTATATATCACCTCTTCTTGAGCACCAATGGTATGAGGAGCTGTCTTTGGGACTTACCATAGGCTTTACAACCTGGCAAAGCTGGGATTACTGTTCATATTTTACAGGTGAGCAGGCTTCCGTGCCTTGTTAAGGAGAAGTAGTATCTCAATAAAGACGTTTGCAAGGAGAAAAGGGTTGCCCCTCACCCCAAGACCACCCGTACCAAGATCTTTCTACCTCGGACTGTATCATTCAGCTCTTTTTTGTGTGCACTGAGTATCTTATTTTACACTTGTTTATTTATTGGTGTGCACACACTTGACACGGCACGCTTGTGGGGTCAGAGTGCAACTTGTGGGAGTTGGTTCTCTACTTCTACCATGTGGGTCCTGGTTAACAGGCTTGGCAGCAAGCACCTTTACCCAGTGAACCACTTTGCAGGTTACACAGTGAATATGTTTTAAAAAAATATTTAAAATAAATTTTAAAAATATTTTACATCCCATAGTTGATCATATTTTACATCCCATCATTTAATGTACACAATTCATTTAAAAAATACATTCAGAGTTGTGCAGCTTTTCCACTGTCCAGTTCCGGGCATTTTTTTTTTTTTCGAGACAGGGTTTCTCCGTTGCTTTTGGTTCCAGTCCTTGAGTCCTTGAACTAGCTCTTCTAGATCAGGCTGGCCTGGAACTCACAAAGATCCGCCTGCCTCTGCCTCCCGAGTGCTCGGATTAAAGGCTTGTGCCACCACAGCCTGACTTGCTTCCAGGCATTTTTATCGCCCTCAGAGGAACCAAGGACCCAATAGCCATACTATGGGCTGCCACCTTTCCTAAGCCAGGCCTTGCACCTCTGTGTTGGCGTCTGCTACTGTACTGGGATTCTTTAGATAATTGCCTGGGAGAGACAAATGCTTACTCTCAGGAGAGGGTAGAGTCCACCCTGAGTTGGGCTCCAGGGAAGCGTAGTTGGAGGGTGTTGCATGAAGGCAGGAGTAGCTGCTGGCTTTCAAGAATGGATTTGCAGGAGTCAATATAAGAGAATAAAAGGGTAGAAGTTTGGTTCAGTAAAAATGGTTTTCGAGGATGTGGAGACAACTCAGTGGTTAAGAGCCCTGGCTGTTCTTCCAGAAGACCCTGGTTCAATTCCCAGCACCCACACATAGCAGCTCACACTGAAACTTCTCCTCCAGGGGATTCGACACCCGCATACAGACACACATGCAGGCAAAACACCAATGCGCCTAAAAATAAAAATAATCTCATCATTAGCAAAATGGTTTGCTACAGGAGAGGCCCCCGAGTCCAGCCTCAATGGCTCACGGGAACAGCCCCATAAGACAGTGCTGCCAGATGCCTCTGGACTCCTCCAGGGTAGTCCTGCTGAGTGGCCTCTCCCGAGGGGTGGTGGTAGCCAGGGAACAGTTCTTTATCTCTGTGGGCAGGGATCAGTTTGAGCACAGACACGGCAGGGGTGAGGGAAAACAGAAACTCAGGCAGCAGGAGCCCAGCTACTGAAAGCCCCTCAGGAAGCAGCCTCCCCACTGTCACCAGGACTGATGGGAGGTGGTGGCCTAGGGTGGAGTGGGGGCCTCCAGAAATTATGACCACATAGACTTGTCTGCCAAGACATCTTGAAGAGGCACCCCAAACCTCTAATTCTCTACTTGGTTATAAATTGCGTAGAGTACACATGGAATAAATGACATTTGAAAATGCATGTCACTGGGCCTGATGGAACATGCCCATTTGAACACTCTGGAAGCAGAGGCAGGAGGATTGCAGCAAGTTTGAGGCCAATCTTGCCTACAGTGTGAGATCCTATCTCAAAAAATTTTAAAAGGCCTAATAAAGATGATAAAAATAAAATTAATTGTAACTTATGTTTCTTTTCTCCTACTAAATATTCTTATATTTTTGTGTGCTCATGGTTGTGTGTGTCTGTGTGACTTTCTTCATCACTTTCTACTTTTTTTTTTTTTTTTTAGCATAACAGAACATTTAATTGCACATTTAATTGGCATCAACCATCATACACTGTAATCATATTGGCCACTTCCATTGGTTGGCAGGAGGCTCTTCCACCAGTGGCTCCCATGGCTTCCACTGCAGCATCTTCCTTGCCAGACTTAGTTCATGTTCAGACTGAAGAATCACCTCTTCTACTTCACCACCCTGAAGCAAATTTTCTAATTTTTTAACATCTGGTTCCGCCTTGACCATATCCAGCTTCTCATTGGTGATCTGTTCTGTGTATTTTCTATAGGCTGCATGTTGAGGGAACTGTTTCAGAATATCAAGAATCTTTGTATACAATATTGTTAGCCTCTCGTGTGGAGTGTGGCACACAGCCAATCCCACCAGGCCGGTGGTCTTCTTCAACGCACCCACCTCTACTTTGTTTTTTGAGACAAAGTCTCTCGTTGAACTTTGGGGCTTGCTATTTTGGGGCTCGCTATTTGGTTAGGCTGGCTGGCGGTTGAGCCCCAGGGATCTTCCGTCTCTGCCCCCCAACACAGCTGTATCCGTTGGTGGTGATTGTTTTAACTTGGGTGCTTGGAGATTGAACTCAGGTCCTCGGGCTTGCATGCAAGCACCTTACCCTCCGAGCTGTCTCCTTAGCTCTCTTGAGCTGCTTGTTATGATGCAGAAATTCAGAGTTTCTGCTTATTTGAACACTGATTTTACTGTCCGGAAATGGCACGTTGTCCCTTATTAGATGGACATAACTGAGCCAGGATATCATTTGCTTTCAATTCTGTCATTTTTTTTTTTGTTTATTTTTTAGATAGGGTCTTTCTATGTGGCTTTCCCTGTTCTGGAATGCACTTTGTAAACCCATGTTGGTCTTGACCTCACATGGATCCACCTGCTTCTGCCTCCTGCGTGCTGGGATTAATGGTATTTGTGGGTGCGCATTCCTGTGTGTGCATCCACTGCCTCCGCCACCATCACCACTATACACTGCTTGATAGCTGTTTTGGCTTCCAAGTACTAGGGCTGGAACTACAGGAGTGCCATCCCCTTTGGCTTTCTCTTGGGGATAGCGGTTGCGGGCAGGAGGAGGTGTGGAGGTCAGAGGGACAGCTTGTGGGAGTTCTTTTTCCACTTCACTTTGGGGATAGATTGAATTCAGGCTGTCAGGCTTGGGGACAGGCATTTACTTCCTGAGCCCTCTCTCCGCCCCTCTCCCCGCCCCTCTCCCCGCCCCTCTCCCCGCCCCTCTCCCCGCCCCTCTCTCCACCCCTCTGCCCGCTTCTTTCCGTCCTGCCCTCTCACTGGCCTTCCCAGATCAGAACCTGTACCACTTCCTTGTGGTACTGTCACAAGATGACCGATTGTAAGTCTAGGACAGACCCTCCGAGCGTCCATCTTAGGTGAGGAGGGTTGGCAGTGCGTGATCCTGTGCAGGTCTCTACAATAGGATTTTCCCTGAAGATGGTTTCATTCTGAAGGGACACGATGACCTCAGATTCTCTCTCACAGAAATTTCAGGCTGTCAGGTACTACCTACCTCATGGCCTGTAGGCAAACCTGTAAAGCTCGATTAATGATTGATGTGGGAGATTTCAGCTCAGGGCCATCCCTGGACTGGTTCTATAAGAAAGCAGGCTGAGTGAGCCATGGGGAGCAAGCCAGTAAGCAGCTCCCCTCCATGGCCTCTGCATCAGCTCCTGCCTCCAGGTTCCTGTCCTGTTTGAGTTCCTGCCCTGACTTCCTTCAATGCTGGAATACAATGTGGAAGTGTAAGCCAAACAAGCCCTCTCCTCCCCGATTTGCTTTTGGTCATGGATTTTATCATAGCAATAGTAACCCAAGTAGGATAATATCTAAGGTCACAATTGTTGGGTTTTATGTTAGGTGCATGAGAGTTTGGTCTGCACGTGTGTTTGGTCTGCATGTGTGTAGAACAAAACAAGAGTGAAGTTCTAAAATATATAAACCATTTATGAAGAACACAAATCTGGTTTAAAAGTAACATGAAAGCCAGGCGGTGATGGCGCACGCACTCCTTTAATCCCAGCCCTCGGGAGGCAGAGGCAGGCGGATCTCTGTGAGTTAGAGGCCAGCCTGGTCTTGTTTTGTTCTCTTAATTACTGTTTTCCCCCAGGTTCTCTGCTGTCTGTTGGTTCTTTCTGTTTAGTAAGGTGTCTCTCCACAACTTTGGCCCATTTCCTGACTGCGCTATTGTGCGTGCCTCACTCTGCCGCTGTTGGACTGTGTTTTGTGAACATCTTATCACTGGTTTGTTTCCTCATCTTAGCAGGCTTTTTTTTTTTTTAGAGCAGAACTTTTTAATTTTAATGAAGTCTAGTGTATGAGCTGTGTGTCCACTTGTATATGTATGTCCGTGTGTCTGTATGTCTCTTTGTGTTTGTATCTCTGTATCTGTGTGTTTCTCTCTGTATGTGCCTGGGGCTTATGCTTTTGATATCAAATTAAAAAACTCTTTGGCTAGCTCTAGGTCATGAAGACATTCTGTTCTCTAAAGCATTGTTTTCTGGTTGTGTGCTGGGAGCCGCTGGGAGTCAGCTGTTGTAGACGGTGTCAGGGTTTAGGTCCAGGTTCACTTCTTTGCTAAGTTGTTCCAGTACCATTTACTGGAAAGGCTTCCTGTCCTCTGCTGGGTTGTTCATGAGCCAGTTTCTTTGAAGATGGTCTGGGTTGGTGCTTTTTGAGCTGGAGATGTAGCTGAATCTGTAGAGCACGGAGTTCCCTCCCCAGCATAAACTCCATGTGTGATGTATACCTGTAATCTCAGCACTCTGGAGGTGGAGGCAGGGGACCCACAGTTCAAGCGCATCTTTGGCTACATAGAGAATTTGGGGCCAGCCTGGACTACCTGAGACCTTGTCTCAAAAAAAAAAAAAAAAGAAAAAGAAAAAAAAAGAAAGATAAACAAAAAATAAAAATTAAAAAAGACAAAGTTGGTAGTGTTTATGAACAACTCGAATAAATGTCTGTTTAGGTACTGGAGGCTTCCTGATAGCCATAAACACAGCTCATCAGCTTTGGGATGCTGTGAGTTAAGACTGTGTTCTAGTTAAGTGGAGATATGAGTCAGGGCAGGCAACTTGGCTGGGCTGCTGGCGTCTGGCACCCTGGACTGAACTGGGGCACTCTGACCTGTAGGGTGAAGTTAACCTTGTAGTTGGTATGGGCATGACCTGCCTGGGCTCCTTCAATGGCTGGCTTGCCTAAACTGCTGGCCAATTTTATCTATTAGCTCCAGTCGGACCTTCCCACCCACGGAAAAGGTGTTGGTTTAGAAGCCTGGATAGACAATGTGTGAAACTTAAACACAGTCTGGGGAATGTGAATTTTCCATTTGTTACGATTACTAGCAATGTTTAAAAATGCTCTAATACACAGATGTGTTCACTGGAGAATTAAAATCAAAAGTGAAATTATATACAAAATGTCTCTGGAATTTCCTTGCCTAAAAAATTCCCATGAGCCCTAAATTATTGCTAATTTTGAAAGAAATTATCTTTTGGGGGGGGTGTCAGTTCCCTCCCAAACTCCTTTCTCAGTCCAGCTGAGTGATGGAAACGCAAAGCTAGTTTGGAAACAAAAATTCTCTCAATGGCTGAATCTGGCAAGAATTTTCAACATGGCTGGCCATGCCGCTGAATGAGGCCTTTGTGTCTGGGGGCAGAGGTCACTCTAGAGAGCCCAGTAGTATTAAAAGGTGGGGAGCCTGGAGTCTGGCTGTGGCCAGAGCTGGGAGAATGAGCTTTTGTTTCCCCTGGTCCCAGTGGTGGCTGAGGACATCAAAGGCATGTCTACATACTGTTATCTGCCCTGTCCCTTGCCCTGCCTGCACAAGGGGGTCTCCCTATGGGGAGCCAGGGTGAGGGCGCCCCCAGCTAACAGCCAGTGTTAATTGTGAGTAGGGATTGATCAATGACATTAGCATTAGCCATTTCATCCGTTTCTCTGTTTTGTTGAGAGGAAAATGCATGGATTTCCTTATCTGATTAAAAGATTAAGAAGCATTCTCTTCAGATTCAAGGATTATGGGTGCTGGTGGCAGAAAATTCATAGATAGAAAAGAATACAAAACAATAAATGAATTCCTTCCCCCAGAGGTAAGCACTGTCAGCATGAAGAATCTTTCTTTACAGTGTGTGTGTGTGTGTGTGTGTGTGTGTGTGCCACAGCAGGTCAGAGGACAGTCTGCCACAGTCTGTCTTTCTGCCATGTGAGCCCAGGGATAGAACACAGGTAGTTGTTGAAATATTAGCGGCGGGGCTGCGTCCCTGGCACCCGGCTGCCCGCATGGCTAGCTTATGCCCTGAAATAATTACACGGAAACTGTATTCTTTTAAACACTGCTTGGCCTATTAGTTCCAGCCTCTGATTGGCTAGCTCTTACATATCGATTTAACCCATTTCTAATATTCTGTGTAGCACCACGAGCTGGCTTACCAGGAAAGATCTTAACCTGCGTCTGTCTGGAATGGGAGAATCATGGTGACTCCCTGACTCAGCTTCTTTCTCCCAGCTTTCTGTTCTGTCTACTCCGCCTACCTAATTTTCTGTCCTATCAGAGACCAAGCAGTTTCTTTATTACTTAACCAATGAAACAACAGATAGAAAGATGACCCTCCTCCATCAGGTAGTCATGATTAGCAGCAAGTGCCTTTACCCTTTGAATCATCTTGCTGGTCCTGTTCCCTGCCATTGTTGTTGTTGTTGCTGTTGTTTTGATTTCTTTTCTTGAGATAGAGTCTCACTGTGAAGCCCTGGCTAGCCTGGAACTCACTGTGCAGACCAGGCTGGCCCAGAACTCACAGAGATCCGCCTGCCTCTGCCTCCCAGAGTGCTGGGATTAAAGGTGTGTGCCACCAATGTTAAAAGGCTGTTCTGCAGTTTAGATACCATCTCCTTGTCACTCTGGGGGGGAACATCTGTCTGTGTCCTTACTATAAGTATCACACTATGCCTGTTTTGTTAGCTGCAGAGATCAAATATTCTTCGACATGATTTCTTTAGATTATGAAATTTTGGCTTTGAACAATTTGAAGTTGTATTGTTGCCCTTTCTGGTATAGCCAAATATTTTTATTATATAGTATATAAATACTGTTAAAAATTACAAAATTACAGGTGTTCTTATAGAAACTGTTCAAGGAATCATTGAGGTAACAGACGGTTACTTATTCGATAAAATGATGTCCTGGGTGGCGTGGAGTTCAATCAAGGTGTACACAGTGATTTCCAGGCCAGCCAGGGCTGCATGGGGAGATCCTGACTCATAAAAACAAAACAACGGCAAAGTGATCTGTGTTCCGATTGATGAGCAAGAACTGGGAACGTTTTGTCTTAAGACTTGTGTGCGAGCCGGGCGATGGTGGCGCATGCCTTTAATCCCAGCACTTGGGAGGCAGAGGCAGGCGGATCTCTGTGAGTTCGAGACCAGCCTGGTCTACAGAGCTAGTTTCAGGACAGGCTCCAAAGCCACAGAGAAACCCTGTCTCAAAAAAAAAAAAAAAACCAAAAACAAACAAACAAACAAAAAAAAGACTTGTGTGCGGAGCAGTGACCCTTCTGGGGAGAGCTGAAGAAGAACAGCAAATTGAAACAAAGAGGAGTGATGGCTGCCACAATGTGATGTCAATATGAGCGGGAGACGTAGGCGTGGTGAAGGTGGCTCAGGAGATGCCACCATGTGACTTGGATATCTGCAGAGCTGTGGTCTTCAGTCAGGCAGTGATGGGCCCTCGTGTACTGACCGCACTGTGTTTATGTTTACCTTACTTCTCGCCCAGATCCTCAAAGGCAAGAATTGGGCCACATTACCTGGGAACTCACCAGACCTGACCTGAGGATTATGGCCTCCTGGAACCGGCCAAGGAGCACATTCAACTCACTTATATGATAGCATATAATTAACTGCGCTTGCTGCAGGCTTTGCATCTCTCCCCGCGTGTCAGGAGACCTTTGACTCACAACAGGGCTGCTGGGGAGCTGACAGGCAGACAGCTACAGTCGGCCTTGGGGAGATTCTCGAGTGTGAAAGCCCTTAGCCTGTTCCTCTGTTTCTGGGCAGTAACAGAGTTTATCAGGAGAGAATATGCTCTGATATTCTAGTTTATAGTGTGCCTTGTAGGACGATGACTTTGAGATGTGTCCAGCCACCACCACAAGTGCCAGCTTCTTGCTGTGTTTGGTGCTTTTTCAGGAGCCACGCGCTTGGCATTCTCCTTTCATATATGCAGCCAAACTGACTCTTGCTAGAGCCTGGGTGTGATGGTGCTAATAACTTCTTCTCCTTCTCCTCTCCCTTCTCTTTTCTTCTCTCCTCTCCTCTTCTCTCCTCTCCTCTCCTCTCCTCTCCTCCCCTCCCCTCCCCTCCCCTCCCCTCCCCTCCTCTCCTCTCCTCTCCTCTCCTCTCTTATCCTCTTCTTCCTCCTCTTCTTCAAGATTTATTTTTAATTATGTGTATGTGTGTATCTGTGGATGGGTATGTGCACTTGTATGCAGGTGGATGAGGAGGCCAGAAGAGGGCATCAG